ATAGCGTTGGAATCAGTAGCAATTACGCTATGGAATAGGCACTAATAGTCCAAAGAAAGAGCTATGTGCGGCGAGGAAATGTGCGCGTCTGAGACATAATTTTGTTTGGATTTTACACCGTTATAAAAGATTGCTGAAAAACCGGAAACGTGGAGCTGTAGCCACAAGTCTTAGCTTTCAAATGGCTAACACTCCAATGAGAGTTTCAGTGAATATTCTTCAACACATTGGCAAACAACTAATCACAGCATGCTGGTTGGCGCATTGAATCCTGCTGATTTAGTGTTCACTGATCACAAGCAGCGCGGCCAACTGATTTCAAGATTTTATATTCTTCGATTCACAAAGTAAGAGAATGTGTGAAAGAACTTAAAGTCTTATTCAATGATTCCAAAGAGCCATAATTACCTCACCTATGAAGTCTATAGATTTCACACGATAGCCATTATTGAGTTCGTCCGTGATAAGTTGTCGAGATTTGCATAAACTCGGCGACTGCTTTAGGATTTCTCGCCTTTTCTCCTAACTAAAATCCTACTTTTATAATAATTTTACAGATATAAGTGCGAGATATGATAAGAGTCATGTGGTCAAAAGCGCACAAAATCTATGGCGCAGTATTTGTAAAAAGTGAATGGTTCTGATGTACGCAATTCAAAACTCTGACTGATAATTAAGCGGTCTACTGCCAGATTTTCGTGTCAGTTTTTCTCAAACCTCGATGATCCAAAAAATCAGAAAACAAAGATGTTTGTGAGGCGTTTTCTCTTCAACTATTTGAATAGAATTGTCTTTCAGTAAACTGCGATAAAAAAACTAACTACGGAAACTTTATTAAAATCAAAATCCGAGACTTATCCATAGCAATTCCTAAAAAAACTTTCAATCAAGAGAAACACTTCAACGGCAGTTCAGTATTTGGCAAGAGGAAAAAAACGATCGTCGAACTCACAACAGCCGTGATTCGGCTAAACACCGATCAAATAACCATCACTGATGAGTTAATCAATACCATCATATAACTGAAAACTAGCCGAGGATTTTTTAGTACACTTCCATGAGGGACAAAAGATTGCCATAAACAAGAAATCTGATAGCAAACAGTAGTAAATACAAAAACTTTTCTTAATTTTCGTCGATAGAAACAGCACAGGTGGAACACAGTGTATTTTATTTACGCTTTTACAGCACCCTTCAGTTTTGCGATGACTTCTTCAGGAGAAATCCGAGACGACGTAATCAGCAACGTCTTCAAGCGAGATTTCCCACCCTAGGCATCAGAGTACATTTGATATACTCGTAAAAAATCACACATGATTTTAGAGGGAAAAAATCACCTTGTCCAGAGTCAGCTCACTTTTCCTGAGATCCAACAATTTTCTCATGTAGTCGACGAGCTCTTCGTTTGCTTCTCCTTCACGTGGTGGCGCAGCAATAGCCACGGATATCTCGTCGTCGCCAACATCTAAGACAGAACGAAGATAAACATATATGAGAAAAAAAAAACAAAGAAAAAAAATTTAATTCAACAACTACGGAGAGTTTTTTGTCCAAGATGTTTGTTTATATCGGATTTTCTACAATGCAAATGAAGAAGCAGTTGATAAAGTCATCAACAGTAAACAATCAGTAGAATCGTGCTGGCCATCTTATGAAAAAGAGGTAGCCGACACAATTATTCCGAAGTAGACGAAACAATCACTTCATTTTACCCGTATCACACCACTTTTTCACTGTGTGGGTCCCAATACTTTTAGCATCCAAATCGTTTCCTCGCTTGCTTGAGAATTTCATCTTCTATAACAATTGAGTGGTGAGCAAAGATACGGCCTCAAACGGGAATCGAACCTGCATTTCATCCATATTGGGGACGCGTGCTACTACCACTACACCGCCGAGGCACATTTGCGTCACCACTAATTCTTCAACATCTCTATGTTAGCTATCAGCCACCAACCTTTAACAGGTCTGGTCGAGTATGCGATTTCGCTTTAGAAACCCAGTTGAGCTGACAGTCATTGTTAGATATGATACTCCGTTTCGAGCGCCCAGAGCATCACTAGCCATTCGGCTACTGGCCTTACCGGTCAATCTGACCGTCTACTGCGGAATATCTGTTGTCGATGTCCTCTCATTGAAAAAGTGATCATCTATGTCTCCTAATCGTTTACTGTTTTCTTTGAGTCAACTGATAAAGAAAACCGACTTGTAACGGAATTTATCTTTGCCCCGGGTTTCGCAAAAATTCGCAATGCAATGTGACCGTTTTTGTAAAGAGAAACCGCTCCACCTTGTTGATGCATCTGAATAATTTCCAAAACTAAGCCGATTACTCCTAATATGAGCCACCCTCTTACACCGAAATGTCATAAGATTTGAAAAAAACGAAGAATTCTGAGAACATTTCGTGTTTATTAGATTTTCAAAGTAACCATATTTCAACACGCTTATTCCGAATAGTAAAGGTGAATTCTTTTCAACATAAAAGTCAAATAAGCTGAGGATTTTTGAGGTTCAAATTCCTACGATGGCATTCTTCTTATTGAAGATTTCAAGACATATCTGAAAACTAAAGATAACTTAAAGGAAACAGAATTTGGTTCTCATATGTTAGATGGCAACAAACGCAAAACCGATCCTTTTTCTGAACAAGAACCTCTCATAGGAACCATTCGAAAGCTTAAATCTCAGGCTACTGCGCAACGTGTTCCATGTCTGGAAAAACCTTTTAAAACGTTGGAGCATTCAATTAAAATACGCTTCACATCGACAGCCCAATCTTACTATTGCTTCTCTGAAAGAGCGAAAAGCATATGCACATGTAGAGGAAATCTTGTGGTAACAAATTCATTCAATTAATCAGGAGTTTCTTTCAAAGCGGAGAGAAAATTCCCAATTAAACAATAAAAATCGCGCTTCACATGTTAACCGTCCGGGCGACATCGATCGATTCACGACACCCCCCCACCCCCTCCTAGTCAGCATCTCGTGAAATGGCCAAAAGACACACACCCGCGTGTGTGAATCAATCTGATTTTTCGTTTATCAGTTCACAGAAACGGTTTTTTTCTTCAGAAGATAAGCAAAGCGTTGTAATCTTTGAACCTTACGCTATCGACTGATCACTATAGTGGGAAGAAAGAGCTTATAGCAGTTATTGCCCCGAATAACTGCTATTTTCCTTTCTCTTCTATGCTTACTCCTACCGCATATCGTCAAGTAATCAATATTCTAATTGTAGATAATTCAAAAGGTTAGGCAACGTGTCATAGCGTCGTTTAGCGAGCTGGGGCCGGCGGGTGTATAGTTTTTTTGGCTTGCAGCTAGCATTTCGAATGGTGTCCAGACAAAGGACAGACAGAAAACTCTCGAACGACTGTCAAAGGGCACGTCTCCGATGGCACTTTATTCGCCTCAAATTGCTTCGTTATGGTCGCCAGCTAGCGATCTTTGTGCTTGCCTTTTGCTTCATCTTATCCGTCGACCTCTACAATGATAAACATGAACTAAAATGATGCTAAGCCTCTTCAACTAGTCTAAATAAGTCTCTACTACTACACCACTCCATTTCATGAGCATTATGTTAGGTGTAATCGCATTAACATATTCCCACTCATCCAAATGACTTTAACTTACCCCCGTTTCCGATTAGGTCGCCTCCGATGACCTTCTGATGTCCACTTTGTATCGTATTAACTCAACGCAACCCCCAATTAAAGTTGCACTTGATTCTGTCGTATCCGACATTGGACGCACACAACGCATCAGGCCATCAACTCCTCCCAAAGTAGCCTTCATCCACAGGACTCGTTGTCGCTTATCACGTATTAAGCATGTAATCTTATAAGACTGCTCCTCGTACTTCATGTGTATCATTCGGGGGGTTCGATCCTCATCATCCTCCTAATTCCTAATCAAGTTCTATTCCTCAAAGCTCACGTAAAATCGCCTCTAACATCCAAGCTGTCAATTACGTATAATTATAACTTCATTTAAAGGTTATAATGCTCAGATCCCATGTAGAGTTATCGCTAACCCTTGAGTTATTGATCCCAAATTATTCATCTTACTTGTAGACACATTCATAAATATCGTTAGTTGCTGTCGTTATGTTATGATATTGTATACAAAGTTTAATCACCCAAGTTTTTTCAAGCTGTTTGATCTTTGGCGAAAAGAGCTAAAGTTCCGCGTGGCAGCAATTACAAGGCGAGCAACTCCAAGCCAGTACAGAACTCTCTTGCGGAAAAAAGCGTGTGTGAAACACAAATATTTCCTTTCGCCTACAGCGCTGCGAAAAAGGTTTTCCAAAAAGCAAGCGCATTATTGGATTCTTCGTGACTTCGGCTATCGAAAGATTACTAGTAGTCTGAGGAATAAATTTTGCCTAACGATATATAAGCGAACAAAAAATAAGATGACGCGTGTGGAACTTACTCTTATTCTGAATGCTACACCGTCATAAAACGGCTTTTCGAAAAACAGCTATGTACTGCTCTAGCCAGAGATTCAAGCTTTCGAATGGTTACTAACACCCCCCGTAAAAAACTTTTGCCAGCGAAAAGATTAGTTTACCATTTGTCGTCGTGTAACATATAAAAACCTGGAATTCTTTTCATTTAAGTGCTTTTAAAGGCGATATGATGTTACAGGAGTGCACATGGCGCAGTGGTTGGAGGTGCTCTGCGTGGTACACAAGGTCGGTGGTTCGATTTCGCGCTCATGGCTCACCAAGCTATCCATCCCTTCGGTGTCCGTAAATTGGTAGAAGGTTGGCCGCAGATTTGTCTGGCAGGACAAGCTGCACTGACTCAGTGATACAGTGAGAGGCCCCCGCGAGTCATTGTGTAGGCCAGATGTGCATTCAATCACCTTAACCAAAGTTAAAAAATTGAAGACGAACGCATGCACATACCTCAAGGACTGATCAACGCCGAGAGCTTTTTATCCTTTATGATGTCAGAAGTATTCGCAGCTTGTAGAGTGGTGTGCAAGACCACTGCATCTGGCGGGACTCGAACCCACACTTCACCCTATCCGGAGGTACGTGCTCTCTAACCCGCTGCACTACCGACGCCTGTTTTGTCACCATATTTGTCTGCCTACAAAAAAGCACACTGGCACGGAACTCAAAGAAAGAAAAGACTTGGCTTTGAAATTCTGGCTAAGCAAACTCATTAGAGCCATTGATTCCTTCCATTCATCATGCCTACCTGGTTGGGAGCTCGATACGTCGCACTGTCCAAGACTCGAAGAAGAAGAAATCACAGAACTTTGTGACCTGTCCGCTCACTTTCCAGGAAAGGCTATCTGTTAGCCCTAACACTGGCCAGATAACTCCCTGCTTCCTTGATGAGCAAACTCGAGTCTCCACGGGTCACACCAAGCAATACCTTGTTCGATTCGTCGCCCTCATGAATAATTGGAAAGATTAATACAAATTAAACGGTTTTTGAGCGGGCAAAGCGACAGAAATGTTCGATCAATATTGTACTGTATTGTACCATGAAGCATTGTATTAACAACTTCATGTCTCAAAGACCAACTTTCTTGAAACTCGGCATGTTAATAAAATAAAACTTCGAAAGTGAGAAGAAAAGCTCAGAAAACTAATCTATATTCAAAGCTTTACGAGGCTGGTATCTTTGTCCCAATCGATTGCTCTTCTTTCCGGTCGATGGGTTTGCGCGATTCCTTGTGGCTGACATTTCGGCAGATACGCCTTCTTCAGAGCCTTACAATCTAATCCAGGAACTCTAACTTCACTTCGTGTCTTTTCATGAAAGAACATAACGAATTGATCGGTCTCAGTGATATATGGTGATGTGCAAAACTTTCGCGTCAGGCAGGACTCGAACCCGCATTTTACTCTATCCTGGAGCGCGTGCTCTAACCCGTTGCACTACTGGCGCCCGTTTTGCTCACCATCCTTTTCAACGCGAGAGGCAAAACGGGCGTCAGTAGTGCAACGGGTTAGAGCATGTGCATCCGGATAGAGTTAGATGAGGGTTCGAGTACCGCCTGACGCAAAAGTTTTGTACATCACTGGTTATGTCTGTGACGTCATAAAGGATAGAAACTCGGAGTTGATCAATTCCTGAGGGATGCGCCATACTTTCGTCTTCAATTTTTGACTTCGTTCGAGGTGATTGAATACGTACCTGGCCTTTCCAGTGACTCGCGGTGGCCTCCCTCTGTATCAGGTCAGTGCGCTGATCCTTCCAGACAAGTCTGATACCAATTTACCGACCCCGTCAAGATGGACGGCTTCGTAAGCCACGAGCGCGAGATGGAACCACTAACCTCGTGTGCGACGCCGAGCACCTCTAACCACTGCGCCACATGCACTCCTATGACATATCACGACGAGAAGCGGTTAAATATAGAAGGAATTTTATTTTATCTATCTCAGCCAACAAAAATAGAGCAGACTCGAAGTTGTCAAACAAAAAATTTACAATTATAGAACGAAATGTGCAATAAACAAAAAGAAGAATTTATATTATTGCACAATAAAGTTTCTGGACACTCTACGGCTGCCCGACCAGCAACCTTCCGTCACACGAACGTCGAAAAAATGAAAATAAACAAAAATATTTAAAAGGTTCGGAACAAGACGCAAGTCATGAAATGTTCCGTGCAACTACGGACCACACATCGTACTGGACGTTGTCGTTCGCATTTCAAACATGACGTGTTCTGGAAGATTCCACCGTGTTCCCTTTTTTGTGAGGCGTTCCTGCTCATTTATGGGTTTCGCTCTGAGTTTGCTTGTCGTTGATTCCCTTTCTGTACTATCTTCTCCTGAATCTGAGCCGTTAGTAATCATCACAGTCATTTTTCTAGATCGTTTTTATCCAGGAAGAGCGCATGTGGCGCAGTGGTTAGAGGTGCTATGCGTCGCACACGAGGTCGATGGTTCGATCTCGCGCTCATTGCTCACCAAGCCACCAAGCCATCCATCCCTCCGGGATCGGTAAATAGCACCGTACTGGTCTTAAACCTGTCTCGGAGGACAAGCGGCATTGACGCGATACAGCGAGAGGCTACCGCAAGTCACCGAATGAATTTAAGAATTGAGGACGAATGCATAACGTGACCCTCAGGGATTGATCAACACTGAATTTCATCCTTTTATATTCATAAATGTTAATGATGTGATGCAAAGCTGCGAACCAGGGCAGGAAACGAACCCTCGTCTTATCCTTGCCTGGAGCTCATCCCAGCCACCACACGACCAGAGTTCCTGTCCTGCTATAACCCTGCGTAGGTGTCAGCAACCAGCCGTCAACGGGTTTGGTGTAGTAAACACGTATAGGTAGTGGTAAACCCGATCGGGACGGCAGTTGATCGATCGACCGCTCAGCGCGAGTTGCGAGCGATGCGCGATTTTCATAGCTGACATCTTAACCCTTTGAGACAACGAGAGTCACTCTGATGCTTACCGCGCGGCGTCAAATCTCACTCAGCTACTGTGATGGTGGCGTCGCGTCTCGTGGTAAAGCAGGCAGGCATCCAGACACGCATACGCACAGGAATGCGGAGCCGCTCCTCTGGCTTCTTATCTGACTGCTGCGCAAGTGACGGCGCGACATCGCATGCCTATCAATGCTGACCCTCAGGGTTGAAGCATTTGGTGCAACTCCGGTACTGTATGAATTTCTCTACACTCTCATATGCTTTGATCTATGGGTAACTCTCAGGTGCGACGAGAACTTTGAGAGTGAAACGTGATTTTCTTTACACTCTTAGAGCGTTTTAGGAGGACCTTTTTGGAAATCAAACTCAGTTTTAGATTTACCAGGTATTCTGCTATCAAATGATCACCAAATTATTGATGAAAAAGCCATCCACTGACCCTATCCGAACAAAAAATGCGCGTTAGACGTAAAACGTAATCTTATTCTCGCTGCTACAACGCAATGAGAAGGCCTTACCAAAAATTAAACACAGTGTTGGAATCGCCGAAATTTGAGCTTTCGAATACTATCAAAGGTTTAGGGGAGTAGCTTTGTCTAACTGATGAGGCATCTTAATAATCAGTATCTGGAAGGGTACAGGTTGTCCTGAACCGGGTAAAATCAGTCGAAACGCCCTCGGAAAGGATGAACGTGAGTTCTTCTCCTCCCTGAAGTTCCGAGTTTTGTAGATCACTCAGCATTCTTAGTAAAAATCATGGCATTCGAATCGTTTGCCAATGCGATCTGGTTCATGTTAATCATAACAATGTTTGTCCGTCTTATAAGTGGTCACTATTGCGGGTCCTTGCATCATCTATAAGTTTGTCAGATTCTTTTATATTAGACGGCGAGAAATAAAACAGAAATCGATTCCTTTTGCTGGCAAGAATTTTTGTAACAATCTTAGTAATCAGACGAAAGCTTAAATCTCAGACTAACGCGGTACGTGCTCTTTTTTTTTTTTTTTTGAAAAGACCTATCTATAATGCTTCAGCGAAAGGAAAATATTTGTACATAACACGCGCACATTTCTCGCTATACAGAGCTCTTTTTTTTTTAGACGATCAGTAATCATTCGATAACGTAAGGTTCAACGATTCCAACTCTGTGCTTATATTCTCGAAAGACGATCTCTGCAGTGCAGAAGAGAAAATAAGATGGATTCACATAAGCTACATGTGTTTTTTTGACTAAACTATGAGGTGGAGGGCGGGGCCTAGGGAGTTCCACGATTTTAGCACGGCCATCGATCGAAGAGCCGCGGTGTGTCATATATTAGTGCGATTTCTATTATTTGATTAGGAATTTTTTATTCACCTTGAAACAAACTTCAGATTGAACATATGACTCTGATAGTGTAAGATTTCGTCTACAGGATGATATGCTTTTCAAGTCTTCAGCGATGTAATAGTAGAATTGCGCTGTCGAAGTAAAATATAATTTTATTTCAAAATTTTACGGCCTTATAAAAGGATGTTTCGAGTAAGGGCCACAAACGACTCTAGCCATGACTGTATTCTGAAGGATTGGTTATAAAACGCTCAAAGAGTCTGATCTGCTATAGTGTTTCTAGATACAAGTTATAAATCAGGAGAGTTACGACGTGAATGAGGCGGTGTCGAGCCACCACGTGTCATCTGGTTGGCGTTGCGTTAGGAGGATACTAGTAAAAATATAGACGCAATGCTGTTAGTTTCCTACGTTGTAAGGTTCACTGTGAGGTTTACTATGGAATAGATTTTTCTACGATATGAGGGCTGTTATGGCGCAGTGGTTAGAGGTGCTTTGAGACAAACACATGACCGACCAACCGACTTCTGATGGTGCAATTCCGCGCTCATGGCTGACTTAACCTTCCATCCCTCCGGGGCCGGTGGATTGATATCAGATTTCTCTGGAGTATAAAAGCACTGACCTGGTTCATTAATTGGCCACTGCGAGTTATTCTGAGGTTTGGATATGTCATCTCAGATAATGCTCCAGTTTTATCCCCTTGACTTCAACGGCATTCTTTGGATAGCTGCGTTGAGTTGTTAAACATAGAATCCAGTTTGTTGATCTCGTCCTAAAAACGTGAATTCAACTACACTAAGTTGACCGTCTTGTCGTAACCCTTTGAGGACCAACGTTGATGGCTGACGGTGTCACGTGTCGTTTGCGCAGCAACCAGGCGGGTGGCACCTGCATGTCTGTGTATGCTCATATGGCTGGCTGTCTACCTGTTTTCCCACGAGCAGCGATACCGCTCTTTGACTTTTCGCAACCATAATATAGCTAAAGTGATCGATCTTTGCACTGTTGTTGGTAATCAGGATGTGGTGACATGCAGAAGAGGTGGCTAGGCGCAGTCAACAAGCAAGTCAGGTGGCAATAGTGAATATTCCTCCAGTGAACCTCTTGGAGCTCGAGGTGACCTTGCACGTGGCCTTTCTTGGCAACGATCCTTTTCTTCTGAAGATTTGTTGTATATGAAGTGCTGGAAGTTTGTGTAGTTTGTAACTTTCAATTGCAGAAATGTACACTGTCAAGGTTATTTGACCATAGAGTTTGCGTTTATATGCCGCGTCTGTTGGAAATTGAACCTCACAGCGAATTGCTCGGATTCTTTTTTTTATCG